TTAAAAGTAATAAGATCCAACAATCCTCTAAAGCTTTACTTCTTCCCCTCTGCCACTGTCTTTGTTGCCACTTTGCCCCATCTCAAAAACCTGAGCAACCATACTAAAGGGCCAGAGTTGGCATGAGGCACTGCACATTTTCCCAAGTTTTTCCTTTTTTTTATATTGATCAAAACCTTTGCTTGGATGTAAATTTACTCAAGTTTCATATCCTGTTTACTGCTTACACAAGCTTAATAAATGAGACCCCAGGAGCTTCCTGTGAGGATTTTTTTCTATCTCTGTCTTTGATTACTTTTGTACTTTTTGCATTTGTTGATGAAAAAAAAGACCAACAATGAACGATACAATTGGCTGCAAAGGGAGCTTTCTTAGTTGACCAATGCAGTTTATAAATCCAGTGTAGAAATAAAGCAAACAGCAAACATCTCTGGGAATTGCTGACAATGTCCCAGTCCTGCTTCATTCTTACACACTATTTAGTTCAGGTTTAATAAAACAAGTTATGCTGTCCTGTATATAAAGTGTTGGTAATGAGATCAAATAAGAGTTATTTAAAATTTGTTTACATGGAGTCACAAAGTTATAATTCATGTATTCCTGCTGAGTCATTGGATAAATATGACATTATCTTCATTCTATTCTTCAACTTAAGATCAGGTCATGGTAATAAAATGTTGGAAGAAGTTGAAAAGACATTTGCGTCCATCTTTTATTTTGGTCTTTTTTAATTTTATTGGTGGTTAAATTAAGGTAAAGTTTTATGAAAAGCTTTCAAAGCAAAACTGAACGTTAAAGCAATGATAGCTAAGAAAATTGCTAAATAAATTTTTTTCTGATTCTAAGAATTAATTCAGAGTTCTTGCAAAAGTGTCAGTTGGGTAACGGAGGTCTAATAAAATATCCAGTGCTTAGTTTATTCTTTAAAAAATGGTGCATATTAAATAGTGAATAAAATGAATAGATAAATTAGAGAAAGAAGGAAAATGAAGTAGGAAAGCTGTTTTTTTTGTTGCTCAGTTGTTTGCAGGCTCTTTATTATGTGCGAGAAAAATTAAGAATTATTAACAAAACAAGCAAAACCACAAATCAAATCTTAAGGAAAAACTAGATATACCTAATGAAGATGGTTTAACAGCATTTAAATCAAACACCGAAAAATATGAAGTGATGCATTTCAGGGAGGAACATGTTTTAAAAAAAAATTGAAACACGTCACGAATCATGAGCAGGAGGAGATTGGTTGAGTGAGTCTGGGAATATTGAACAAGACATCTATTTTTCAGACATAACGGGATAGCTGCCAAATCTGACTGGTATTTAAATATTATTCAAATAGAACAATAAGATTAGACATCACTGATTTTTTTTCATGGATACTGGGCTATTCATGTCAACATTGTCATATAAATGTGTGTTTAGCTGGCTTAGGGCCTTAAAAAAGGTTTGTAATTTTGCACATATGGTACGTATTTACCCACTTCTGAAGGTAAGAAATGGAAATGCATTTAGGACACTCGAATACCTGGTAAATAATAAAACTCTAACTCTGAAAATATATCATTGTATTGCTGACCTTTTGTATGCATTACAAAGCAAAACTGCCAACACCCATGTATATGAATGTAAATTGCATTCATATACATATATGAATGTAAATTACATTGATATAGAGCTACTGTATGTATATAAATGTAAATATGTGACATTCCTAAAGGCTAACAGACTTTATGACACTGTTTGCATTAAAATTATATATTAAAAAATAAGGCCACTGAGAAAATACAACAAAAAATGTTGCATACAGAACTGAATGCCATTAAAATCTCCAATAATGTTTCAGAAAACTACTGTTAGACAGTTTTATAAACAGCTTTATAAATAAAAATAAACTCAACAGGCTTTGTTAAATAAAGTTAGGTAAAAGTTTAATGTTAATATTATCGGTAACCTACCCAGGATTTATTCTATTACGTCGTAAAATAAACTAAAAATCAATGAATATTAGGTAGCAGTGTACTGCAACAATTCGCCTGATTAAAAATCTTATTAGTTGAAATGATAATAATGGTTTAGTCCAAATTACTCAATAATGCCTAAAAGTGCAGCTTCCTTTTTAACACAAACAGAGGCGTTAAATGGATCCCAATTCCAGTATTGTCAAAAAGCAGCATTATTTTAAACAGTCTTAACACGTTTTTATGTCAAATAATCAAACTTCCCTTTCAAAAGCCATTTATTGGTGGTGGTCTTTAGACAACATGAAAGCATGGATTAATTCTGAACTATTTGGGCGGTTTAGGCTGATAGTGGTGGTGGGGATTTTTTTGCTACCCTTTGGGTGATAAATCCCAAATATTTTTTTTTTTTTTTTTTATGCTACATTCTACCCGAGTTGCATCCTTTTATGACCATGTGTGATACTTCTGTTTATGGCTACTTCCAGCAGGTTATTGCACCATCTCACAAAGCTTAAATCACCACAGAATGGCAGCTTAAACTTGTTAATTGCACAATTGTACTGCAGTGGCCTCTTGGCTCAATCATCTTACATCGAAGCACCTCTGACATGTAATAGATATCCTGCTTCCAATATGTGTACCTAAAAAATCGGCAACTCCTTCTATGGAGTATTCCTGAAAAGACGTGTGTCATGTTTCCCACAGACATTATAGCTGTTTTAAGCAGCTTAAATTATGGTAAAAATCAGAAGCGATCGTTCTTCCCTGCCATCCAAAATTCCCTATAATTTTGGACTCATTCTAATTGTTAAAGTATTGAAAGGACCTATCTGTGTCTACAAAAGCACAACTTTGTCCACCAATGTCTTGTCTGCCTGCAGAAATCCAATAGGTTTTTCGCACAGCTTCACTGAATCCAAAAGTGCACAGAAATGGTCAAATAACTGGTGACGACAGCAATGCTAGAAAATACATTGATGACCTATATTTGAACATTTAGTTATCCGTTTATTAAGACCTGCCACAGATTCACATACTGTATAGTATGTATTCATAAAAGAAGTTTTCAGACTGACATGGGAAACTGAAAATCTGATGAATGCAAAGTCAAATATGAGATTTTATGTGTGGAGATTTTTCACACAGTTTATTTAAATGAGCAGCACCTTTCAAAACTCTTACATTTCGGTCACTCTTACATATGCTTGCAGCTAGTAACTACTGGAATAATAACTATTCTAAGGTGCATAAACTTTTACAACCCTGCAATCAATCATAAGTAATTTCTCTTTTCATTTGTTCTGGTTTTTTGTTTTCTTTGTTGCATTATTATAGGAATTTCACGCCATTATCTTTTTACTAGAATAACACATCTTCACATCATTACTACATGAGGCCATTATGATGTAGAAGAAGACAATTCACCCAACTGTTTGCCAAATAAAGCCGACACTCAAAGCTACAGGCTTTTTAAGTTCAGCTTGCAAATCTGACTGAATAAATGGCCTCCTCTGTACTGCTGAGAAACTAACTTCTCATTTGTTTTATTTTCAACATGTCAGTGTGATGAAGTATGCTAATATTCTCTCTTTACAGTATGTGATAAAACTATGATAAACAGTGTGAGGAGTATGATGGATGCTTTGTTACATGCTGGGAATTGCTGATTTTTCCTTCGCTTTGGTCCTCAGCTTTGGATGTAGGGAGTTTCTATCGTTTTCTACTCCTTACTCTCTCCTATATTTGATTGGTCATAATTGACTTTTATTTGCAGCTCAGTATTGATCACCTCAAAAGACCCTCCGTCCATTCCTAATCTTCAGCCATCAAAACTTTTTTCTTTTCTCTTGAAACTCGTCTTTGCTAAAACCTTTTCTTTCTCAGGGCTTGCTCCTTTCCCCTATATGAGTGTTGCGAACAGCATGCCGTCATCGTTACAAAATAACTCTTGAATCAATAGTCGAGAGCAGATGCTCAGCAGTCCATTTACGGCTGAAATGGTGGAGAATAACCGCGTAAGGGAATGGAAGAAGAGAAAATATGAGGGAGAATGGAACCAAACTTTAAAGCTGATTTTTGAAAATATTGAGGTACTGCTTACTTTTTAAGGTTATGTTTTATTTTATTTTTTTAGTTGTTTAATGATAAAGAAATGCAATTAATACTAGTAGTGACTAACTTTCACTAATTAAGTTTATAAGGTTGAAACATCTAGATATATCAATTCAAATCTAAAATAATGCGAATAACAAGTGAGACTTTATAGATACATATCTATTTTAGAACTCAAAAGTATAGCCTACCACTAAATGAATACTTTATAAATATATCTAACTAAACCCCCTGTGAAATCAAATGTTTGCAAATAAATAGAACTATATTCTATATATCTATATATATTCTATATTCTATGTGACAAACATGAAATTCTTATAATATATTCTATGTCATATAATATCATACTATACCTTATAATAGAAATAATAATGATATTACCAATAAAGGAAAACAAAAATTTATATAGATTTAATAAGTGAGATTTTACAAATTGACAAATTCACTAAAGCTTGATTTACATAGTCTGGATAAAAAGATAAAAACAACTATAATCTGCATTTATTAGGACTGTTGCTTACCGACTGCTTACCGAATGTAACTCAGGCTCCAGAGGAAAAGTGTTTCTTTTTCAAAGACAACAGTAAAATGCTGCAGAATTTTTTTTTACATCATTAAGTCACTTACTTGGTGTTTGGGTTGGGATTTAAAGTTCTAAATGTATAATCAACTACAAAAGGTCTTCCGACATGACATTCAAACTACTTCATTCATTAAGTTCAGCTGAAGATTACTTTAACCTTTACAGATTAGTTCAGTTTTTATTTTATTTTGTTTTGTTTTTAAGCAGTAAACAAGTTGGTAAATAAAATCCATATCCCAAGTTGTTGTGGAAGCTAGGAAGGTGTTTGCATGCAAGGAAATACCCAAATAATCATTTCAGTCTAAGTCAAAGTTCTATAAGTATAGCAAAAATGTACTCACATCAGCAACTCCAGCCTCCAGGATGGTGACCTTGGCTTCTTTCTCCAAATCTGTTTTTTGCTTAACTAAAGACGGAAAACAGAAAAAAGTTTATTTTGATATTTTAGTTTAAAACACTGCATGAAAAATACAGATCCACAACAACATTATTTTAGATAGTATCAAAGAAAGCAAAAACACAGCGATGTGTTCTGATAAGTTATTAAAATGCTCTAGTTTATTTGACGTATTTTAAAGGTGCTATATGTATACATGTATGTATTTTTGCTAATGCTAAGGAGTGAGATAAAGTATGACAAACATGCTTTTAAATGTCCAACAATCCAACAATTACATCAAAAACGACACATTCATCCAATTAATAATGAATTACTACATTAACATTTCAAGGTGAATTAAATTCTATTAACTTTACTTTCTATTTTCTAACGTTAGACACAATGTCGATGGCTAACTCTTCGAGTCAGTCCGAAATAGCCAGACTAATTTTATGCTGAATGCTATACAATGCTTGTAAACTGCTTATTTATGCAGTCGAATGCTACACACATAGGCATTTTTACTGCACATCTCTATGGGAGACGGGAGTACCAATATGGCGGCCGGTGGCTTCACTTTTTGGGCTATCAGCAATCCAGTGAATAAATAGAGATCAGTGGTTTTGACCCATTTGTTAACTCTAATTTAATGGTTTTTAAAGCTTTAGAAATAATTTCAATGCCATCAACAAGTACCTCTGACTATATATATATATATATATATATATATATATATATATATATATATATATATATATATATATATATATATACACTCACCGGCCACTTTATTAGGTACCCCGAGCTAGTAACGGGTTGGACCCCCTTTTGCCTTCAGAACTGCCTCAATTCTTCGTGGCATAGATTCAACAAGGTGCTAGAAGCATTCCTCAGGGAGTTTGGTCCATATTGACATGATGGCATCACACAGTTGCCGCAGATTTGTCGGCTGCACATCCATGATGCGAATCTCCCGTTCCACGACATCCCAAAGATGCTCTATTGGATTGAGGTCTGGTGACTGTGGAGGCCATTTGAGTACAGTGAACTCATTGTCATGTTCAAGAAACCAGTCTGAGATGATTCCAGCTTTATGACATGGCGCATTATCCTGCTGAAAGTAGCCATCAGAAGTTGGGTACATTGTGGTCATAAAGGGATGGACATGGTCAGCAACAATACTCAGGTAGGCTGTGGCGTTGCAGCGATGCTCAATTGGTACCAAGGGGCCCAAAGAGTGCCAAGAAAATATTCCCCACACCATGACATCACCACCACCAGCCTGAACCGTTGACACAAGGCAGGATGGATCCATGCTTTCATGTTGTAGACGCCAAATTCTGACCCTACCATCCGAATGTCGCAGCAGGAATCAAGACTCATCAGATCAGGCAACGTTTTTCCAATCTTCTATTGTCCAATTTCGATGAGCTTGTGCAAATTGTAGCCTCGTTTTCCTGTTCTTAGCTGAAAGGAGTGGCACCCGTTGTGGTCTTCTGCTGCTGTAGCCCATCTGCCTCAAAGTTCGACGTACTGTGCGTTCAGAGATGCTCTTCTGCCCACCTTGGTTGTAAGGGTTGATTATTTGAGTCACTGTTGCCCTTCTATCAGCTCGAACCAGTCTGGCCATTCTCCTCTGACCTCTGGCATCAACAAGGCATTTCCGCCCACAGAACTGCCGCTCACTGGATGTTTTTTCTTTTTCGGACCATTCTCTGTAAACCCTAGAGATGGTTGTTCGTGAAAATCCCAGTAGATCAGCAGTTTCTGAAATACTCAGACCAGCCCTTCTGGCACCAACAATCATGCCACGTTCAAAGTCACTCAAATCACCTTTCTTCCCCATACTGATGCTCGCTTTGAACTGCAGGAGATCGTCTTGACCATGTCTACATGCCTAAATGCACTGAATTGCCGCCATGTGATTGGCTGCTTAGAAATTAAGTGTTAACGAGCAGTTGGACAGGTGTACCTAATAAAGTGGCCGGTGAGTGTATATATATGTATATATATGTATATATATATATATATATATATATATATATGTATATGTATATGTATATATATATATATATATATATATATATATATATATATATATATATATATATATATATATATGTATATATATATATATATATATATATATGTATATATATATATACTGTATATATATATTGAATTTTAATGCCAAATAAGGCCTTAATTTAAAAATTTATAATTTAATGACTCTCGGAAACCCTGTTCTTTTGTGGACTGATCAGGCACTATTTAAGTTCCCCTTTGTCTCATTAAGTGAGGTCAGTTTCTTTGAGTTAGTCGTGTTCGGTTACAGGTATTTTGAGTAGTTTTGGTTCCTTTGACCTCTTTTCTGGATCCCATTTTGTACTTGTTGCATTTTATTATTTTTGGGTTAACTAAAACGACACACTTTTTGACATACACCTGTTACTGCTCTGTCCTCTACACTGATAATATTAAATCAAAACAGGGAATAGGGGGGAACACTGGAAAAAATGGATATCTAGATCAGTCATTTTTTCTTAAAATAGGTGCATTTGTTCTCAGATTGAGGAGGTAAAAGAGACATTTTGCCAATGGAACAAGACAACTTACACTTAAAATAAGAAAACACAATTGCATTCTCTTATTTCAAGTGCATATTTTCTAATTATCTTATTTTAAGAGTAAAAATACTCATTCCATTGGCAAATTATCTCATTTACCTTCTCAAATTAAGGGTAAATACACTTAATTTAAGAAATTTTTACTTATTTCTAGATCGTTTTTTCCAGTGAAGAAACTGAAACCTCGTTCTGTCTTTACTTTGGGAATCCTGCTTGGTTAAATTTGCTAATGAAAAAACCCCATCATACTGAGAAGAATATAAAATTACATCTTGAGAAAACATTCAGTTGGCTCAAAAAAGACAAAGTTTGCCTTCTATAATTTTCTGAAGCTATGAGTTAAATATATTCTTGTTTACACCTTCAGTATGGTAATTTTTTTGATTGTCCCTCATGTTTACAATTGGCCTTTGGATGAGATAAACATTAGGCAGGAGAGTTTTCAGCTTTGCGGAGATCTGGATCGGAGGAGAAGATCTGAAATGCATTTGATGTTATAGAGGTTATCTTTTAAATCTTTTGCCAAATTAGGGCAGCGCACCTCTAGAGGGCTCAACATTCAACCACTGAAGGCATAAATTAGCCGTTAATCCTGCAAATCTTCACTTCAATAAACTTGGCTTTTTTAACCTGACCTGCCGCTAGGCAAATGTTAAAGCACATTTTCACACAAATACAATTAAACCCTGCAGAGTTCTCCTTTTTTTTTTCCCATTAATGTAAAGGGAAGCAAAATGGGCTTTAATTGAAATTCATGACAGAGAGCATATTAAAACCAGAACAAAATGTTCTGAAAAAAGAAAGCATACATAATTACATTCACTTTGCTTTGCATCTGAATACAGCAGTGGAAAGAGCAAACCTCCTTTGTTGACACACCAGGCAGATGAAGGATATGCAAATAGCAAGTCGAAGCTGTCATACTCCTCCAAAGAGCTCTAACAATTAGTCTTTCAATCTGTCAGAGCATACTTTTCCGCTAACCTTATGCAATGTATCGTCATACTGCAGAACTTGATTGTAAAATATATTCTGTTGAAAATGAAATGAGTTTCTGTATTACTGGCAATACATATGCAATCACCAGCGAATAATAACAATAGTTCCCCTAACAAGATCATCTCCCCTTATCATGGCAGTGGATGTCATTAATTTGGCCTTTTAATTGTTTTTTATTTTGGCATTCTCCTTTAAAGATTCAGTGATCAGACAACAAACACCGTCACTGGATTAAAAAAAGAACAGGTTAGGAGTAAAACACATTTACATTCATTGCGGATTGATCCATGTGGCTCAAATAGAAACACAAGCTCACCAGAATTTGGTAAGATGTCATAAAATGTATTCCTGGATGTCTAACTATTCCTACCTACCTAGATCTGGGAGGCTTCTTGCTATCTGCTGACATTCAAATAATGGAGGTCTATGGTGACCGATACAGAAAGGTCCATAAAAGTCCACAAAAAATGTGTCAATATTCCTCCATACTGCTCGTCCAATGTATTCCAAGTGTCCTGAGTGGGTAGCATCCAGAATTTACTCGAAACGAAGTCATTTATAATGTTTTTAGAGCATAAACAGTAGTGTATAGCATTTCCTGAAAGTGCGCATTCAGAGTCTGCTCTGCCGATAATGCAAGCGTAGAAGAAGAAATGTGCTGTTTACCTGTGCAAAGAAAGAAACAACGAAAGAAAAATGTCTGAGGACTTCAGTGTTGAGGAAGAGCATGAGTTCTTTCCCGAGCTGAATGCGCACTTTCATCTGGCTTGGTCTGCCGCGGTTTCCGTAGCGTCATGAACGCGCCGGCGCGCGCTTTCAGGAAATCCTATACACTACTGTTTATGCTCTAAAAACATTCTAAATGACTTCGTTTCGAGTAAATTCTGGATGCTACCCACTCAGGACACTTGGAATACATTGGACGAGCAGTATGGAGGAATATTGACACATTTTTTGTGGACTTTTATCGACCTTTCTGTCTCGGTCACCATAGACCTCCATTATTTGAATGTCAGCAGACAGCAAGAAGCCTCCCAGATCTCCAGATGCATTTGAGATATCAAAAAAGTACTCCAGAGTGTTGTTCAGCATGGGGGTGAGTAGAAAATGAAGGCTAATCATGTTTTGGGTGTACTATTCCTTTAAGCCAACCGTCTTCCTTCATTACTTCACCCACTGTGTTTAATGTGTCAGCAGCAGTGGCAGATAAGTCTCATAGCATGTTGGTACCATTACATTCCTGTCAGTTTGTGGAGTACTTGTAGCTTCGAAAAGCCTCAACTTGAATCCTCCAACTATGCTTCTTGACATTGAGTCAGCTTGTAGCTGGTTCAATATCACTGTAAAGCCAGCCTTAAGGCAGGTTTATACTCAGACACCAGGTCGTCTGCATGTGTGTCG